TTTTTGCAATTCAAGGACAATCAAGAAAATCTGCAAGAACTGAAAGCTGTGAAATATTCTTGCCACATATGCAACTTTTTTTTTCTCTCCATCAGGGTGGATTTCTTTATTCCAGGAGTTCCTACTGTGGGTGGGTTTACCATATGTTCCAGCCACAGGCTGCTTAAAGAAAAAAGATCCATAGACCTTGCTGTCAAACACAGCGAACATCCTCCAGCACTTTGGGTTCACACTCAGGTGTGTACAGAAATATGGACACTTAGTTGGCACAGAATGCCTTTATTAATAAGGCAAACTATAACTGTTAGGCCCTATAGGAGTGACTAGCATCTAATTTCTCCCTACATTATCAGCTGGGAATCAGACATTAAGGTCACAAGAATAAAGAAAATGATCACCAACTAAAGGAGCTCTTGATTGTTAAGCAAATTCTCCCTATCAGCAGCTTACACAATTTATGAAGAACAATAAGGAGGATGTGAATAATGATGTTAGGGTGTAATGTAAAGCATCAAAAAATTATTATTAATCTTTTATAATTTAAGAGGTCAGATAGAAGTTGTAAGGTTGATAGGCAGGGTCTTCTTATAGATAACCAAAATATACAATGTAGTCTGGAATGAACAGCTTATCATGCTTCCTCACTGAAGAAGTAAAGCACTAATATTAGCTGCTTGAAATAGGCTATGAAGTGTAGACCATGAAAGTCCTTAACATTATATTCATTGCAAACTACAGGAATAGACATTTATACTATCAAAGGATTTTCAGTTTTCCCCTTGAAGAGTAATAACTAACCCAATAGCAGTTTTCGGTAGATAATTTGCCAAAGATATAAATGTTTGCGTTAAAATTATTTGTTGAGTGCCACTTGTACGGGTCCTGGTAAATAAACATTAGGATGTTATACCTCGTGCTTATGAAGTTGTCTCCTTTTTATCCATCTTAGTGTCAAGTTGGCAGTAAAGTTCATATGAAAGTCGGGGGAGAGTGTTATTTTGATCCAAATCCTGAAGGCTCCAGTCCAGATCTGCTTCTGATTGCTGGTGGTGTTGGAATCAACCCCTTGTACTCCATTGCGCAACATGTTGCTGACATTTCCTCTGATGCTAGCCATCAGTACGATGGGAAAACAGTGCTTCTGTTTAGTGCTAAGAACCAAGATGAACTGCTTTACAAGGTACACTACAATTTTTCTTAGAAATCATAATTTGATCTTTAATGGTAAAATGCGGGAAAGGTGGAATTTGTGATATGCTTTGTGATTTTGACAATTATCTATCTGAATTATTTCCTCTTCAGTTGAATTTTTCAGACTGAGAAGTATTTCTTTGAATTCCTTCAAAGTGTGAAATTCTTTCGACTGCAACGCGCTTCAGTTCAACTTTAAACACGGCATGAAATGGAATGAAATGACAGACTGCTGATATCTCTCCATTTCTGTCTGACTTAAAAGTTCTCTTTTGTCTGCTATAACTTCCCTTTTTAAGCCACTGTGTGAATGATCTGTAAAGGATCGTTAGATACAGTATGACTCAAATGAACCGTGTAGACTTTAGCATGTAGCCTTGTATATTCTGAACTAAAAAGTAGCTTTGGAATTGTTGTTTTTTTTTAATCTTGTCAGTATGACTTTTTGTTTCTTATTCTGTCCTCTTTTGTAGGATAATCTCTTGAAAATGTCAGAAAAGTGCCCCTCTATACTCTGCAAGTTTTTTGTCACAAAACCAGATGCTGATACACAGACTAACGTGAACAGTGTTCAATGTAAGTGTTCGTAAAAAACGTATCTAGTATCGGTTTTTTGGCTTGAGTGTAGTTACAATTCAGGCCTACTAACCAGCCTAAACTCGGAATATTCTAGTACTCATTGTCATGTGAGATTTTGTGAGCTATTGAGTGTCTGAGGTAATCTGAATTTCTTTGGTTATACTTTACTCCGCTCTATGACTGTTCCAACAAGATCCAAAACGAAAACCTACACAATTCGGTTTTCCCGCGCTTTAGACAGTTTGGTTGGTTTTTATCTTTAGTTTTCATTGGCTCTTAACACCGTCCTTTCATATGATTGGCTCTTGTGATAACTTTTGTTTTGCTTTTACGACACTAGACCGAAAAAGCGCAGTAGTTTCTGATCTTTGAAGCTGGCACGCACTGTGGTATTCAAACGACCAGGAATTAACAATGAGAACATGAAGACAAATAATTTTTTATGTGTTTACAAACGTTACAAAATATGAGTGCTGGAAGCTCGTTGATTCCCGTGTCTTATTTTGCCCACCTTCAAATTGCTAGGTGAACGTGGTCGTATCAACGAATCGCGACTACAAGAAGCTGTGTCCTCTCTGGACAGGAATAGATTAATTTGTTACATCTGTGGTCCTCCCCCAATGATCCAACAGATAACTGAAATTTTGTACAAGATGGATATTGAGGAAAACAGGATACTCTTTGAGAAATGGTGGTAGCAAGACTTGAAGCTTCTTCATTTTAGGTACGACGGAGAGAAGTACAGAAAGCTATGGCATTTGGTGAACAAGTGATAGTCGCCCTCATCAGAAACATTGCATCGGAAAAATACGTAATCCCTGAGAGTAAAGGGGGAATTTTTTTTAAGGGAGACACTGAAATTTTTTCTTGCTACTTTGATCGAGTATTGGGAAAGAAAAACGTTTTGGCCAACCTTCGTCAAAACGTTGGCAGTATTTAAAATCTGATCACTCACAGAAGTGATTTGAAGTGCGAGCGTTTAGAAATATAGCAATCATTGTCATGCCTGGTTGCATTTCTAACATGGCAGAAGATTGTTTAACCCTTTAACTCCCAGAAGTGATTCACATAAAACTTCTCCCTACAATATCCATACATTATTCAGCAAACAGGTAATGAGAATATTCAAACTTATCAGGTAGAAGCTGCTATCTTGATCTAGCACCAAGTTCTCATGACTAATTTACAAGGAAATGTGCAGCAGCTACAGGGGAGAATTAACAATCAGATCTTGGGGGTTAAAGGGTTAAGATTGTTCTTTGAAATTAAAAATTTATTTAAGCATCAAGAAAATTTAATTTGAGCTAAAGTTATAACTTTTGTGTTTCTTTATGAATTGTAAGTCGAATTATGAGCTCCTCCAAGTTCATCGAAATTCCATATCAAAAAGAAACCTTAAATAAATGATTTCGAGTGCAATTTGGTTAAAATTACAACAAAATTACACGAGCCCCTTGGACCAAGTGCTTTTTGAAAAATTTTACAAGTACTTATTTCACCAAATTGCAAGAGGAATCATGTTATTACTTGTTAATAAACAACATGGAAAAACATCACAGAAAGTCAAGAAAGACGAAAATTTAAAAGCGTGCGCGCGCTATTTGTAATTATTTCATGCGGGTTACAACTTTGCATCCGTGATACAACTCTGCACTAGTGTTACACGAGAATGCACTCGTTTTTCGCTAATCAGAAGCGCGTAATTTTTTCGTGTATATTATTGCTAAAGTAGATAAGGGATTGATAATAAATTTACAAACTTTTGTTTATTCATTAAAAACAGCTTACATGAACATTTTTCTCCTGAAAACGGTAAGGTACGCTTTGGTAGCTTTGGTGGCAGCCTATAAAGAGGTGCATTTGACAAAGCAGTCTCTATTCAATTTTGAAAAGACGGACGAACCTAACAGAGAACTCGTTAGAAAGCTTGTGATATGATTCGTCCTGTTTACATTTAGATAGAAAGAGTGAAAAATGGTAATTTTTGGGCTTTTAAGAAAGAGAAACGACAGTGAGGCAAGGAAAAACTCTGATTACCCGATAGGGTTCGAACCTCACACCTGACCCTCCATAACTCTGCCGTAAAACAGTTTCGATTTTTGCTGCTTGCAAAAACAATTCATAAATCGAAAAGGTATAAGTCAACTTTCTGACAACTTAGACCACGAGGGATGGAGCTCGAGTTCTATTTCCATTTACAAAAACGCAAAACAAAAAAAACAAGCTATCGTTTGATTAGTCTTATTTTATATGCAGAAGAGAACAGGCGAATTCTTGACTAAAGCGCCTGACAAGATTTTTTTTTGATGCGTTAATATTTAGCCTATCATATCTACAAACCAAGTCCGGTAGGAGAAAATTTAAAAAAACTTTAAACTCGGTTTTTTCGGGCCCTAAAGTGCTCTCATTTTCTTAAAAGTGTCCCATGAACTGGTAACGAATTAGCTGATGATAACGTAGAACGCTGTGAAAACTCTCAGTTGACACTTACAAATCTCTAAAAACTCTTGTAATTTTGTATCAGTCAGCGTTGAAATACACTTGCCCGATAGCGATGTATACTTACCTTCTGCAAGCTCTACTGAGAGTTGTAATACATCGTAGTCAAGTGGTAAAGTAGAAATGGAAGTTGCGAATACGGCTCACCCCTACGAAGGAGTACTGCGTGCATCCGAACGAAGATTTCGACGAAGACTGACAAGGATGGTTTCTCCCCTGCGGAGTTCAGGGCAAGATTTGAACAAAAAACTCCCGTTACTGAATGTTTAGTTCGTCGTGTTTGTGTTTTGTTTTCTATGGGGAAATCTATGTTAAGAATGGGTAGCTGTGTTCGTTTCTATTGCCATAACATTTTATTCCTTCGAACGTTCCCCTTGGTCAGTGCTCTCTTAGCGAACCAAAAGCTAATTTTTGACGAAAGAATCAGCTGTATCACGAGGCACGATGATTTTTCGCCGAGAAGTGATCGGACAGTTTCACTGCAAGTTGCTCCTTTCCTCGGAGATTGCAAAGGCAAAGGCTATCGTCGTCGAGCCGGTCAAATGGAAAACGAGTGATTTTATAGACATCAAATTAGGGATTTTGATATAGAAAAACTTCTACAAATTGTTTAAGTGCAGCATTTCCATATGACCCATGTCGCTCAATGGCAAATAACTGACATCAGTATTGTGAGTGGATACTTCGTATGCATAGACTTTCACGCAGCGCTTGAATTCATTACCACCTGATTCAATAAAATTTCAATTTCTTTATTTATCTCGTTGTAGTGCTGTTATCACAATGATGTTGTTACTGTGGCTACTCTTAATTTCTTGAGGGCAGGGGGGAACTGAGAGCTCTTGGGATGAATTTTCGGAAACCTAGGTTAGGAGAATACACCGGCGGCCTCTTAGAGGTTGTGTTTCTGCTAGTATCCGCCAGAGGTTTCGCACTGTTCACGCAACAGGATATCGGTCAGCACAGGAAAGGGCTTGAGTTTGGCTTGCACTTTGTTTCCGTTATTAAAATGCGATGGAAACTGCAAATGGTAGGATTTTCATACGATAAGAAAAGCGCAAATGTAGTCATGTGGAAAGACAAGGAGTACGAGTACATCTCAAGCAAGTCAAATTAAAGTTAACAACAATAAGGAGCTCACCTTTCTTCGCTTGCGAAATGTCAGCCGAAGAGAAAATTATGGTGCACGGTGTGGGAACAGGCCCCTTAATCAGCATTCTTTTTAGCAGAATTCATTGGTTATCTTTCCCTGATTTGACTCTTGGTTTGTGTTCGTAACAGCCGTCTTCGAAGCCGGTACGGAGCATAAGGCAAACGACATTGAAGAGCAAAATCTCCTCGATGTCGACGATCGAAACGCGTCCATTTTGGCTATACAGCTACATTTTTTGGAAAGCAGTGTTTAGAAATACCCGGTATATGTGTATTATTCTTGTAGCTAACATTATTTGGTGCTCCGGCCACGCGATACGTTTCCTTCCTTCAAGATTTCTATTTTCTCCGCCATGGTTGCTGACGTATCTTCATCGTTTTTACGTCACAGCTGTGTAACATGATCGTTTTAGCCGTGCGCCTGATGGGGACACTCTTTGGCCGCCAAATCGTACTTTCAATGCACAAAAAAAAAAATGGTCAAGGAGAACCGACTAGGCGCTAAGGTCAATTACTTCTAATTTAGAATACAGCTATTAACCAGAAAACGCAAAAAAAAAATTCGTTTTATACGCACTTTAAAAGCTTTTGAATAAATTTGTGAAGAACCCGTTGTGCTGCGTCGCTAAGGAAATAAGTTACTTTTAAGTGAAAATTAAACGACATATCATAAGCAACAGCTTCTCGCCCGTGTCCACTCATTACAACCTGACGCTCGCCAGTTGGAGTAACGTTCCATTCATTACCCTAGTCCCATCCGATCTAGATTTTTCTTACAAACACCCACTCGTTCCAGTCCATACTTTGTTACAACGCTCACGGTTGCGCAACAAGTGGTTGTGAGCAGTTGTGAACGCAACTTGACGCTCTCGACCCTGCTTACGAAACGTTCGATAAACATTTCCTAAGGAAGGACTTTCATAGTACAGTTTACGTCTGGGGGCATAGATCTGTCCCATCTTTGTTAATAATACTTTTCCAACAAAGCTTCACACAAAATTCCAGCACATTCCACCGAAGTTTGACGCACGGGGCGTGTATCCGGTCAAGTAGCGATCGTACTGCTAAAGGTGATGTGTCATTCTATTTTCATAATCTTATATTTCTTAATGCTCTTGCCCAAGATTAAATAATTCAGACCGACAGAGAGTAAACGCTAATTTAACTTGTGGTGCTGAGAGAAAGAAATCTTAGAAGTTCTTGGAATTTTTTTTCATTTTATACCGAATTAAGGATTGATGGCTCCGTACACTTCCGATGAGACGTTGTGAGTATTGACACACGAATAAGTCCAACCATAAACTTCATCATAGTCTTTACCGCCCTTGAATTCGTCAATATTGTGTTAGCTTTTTATAGTTTTCTTACTCTCGTGAAATTCTCGATAAGGTTTGTACAATATGGACGATTAGTTTCATGATCACGCATAAGTTTATTTTTATTTTGGGTTACTATGCCACATGTGATCTTTTCACTGTTCTCGCAATATAAACTAATTATTATCGGCAAAACATATGGGGTCGTGTAAATTTAATTCTGTTTGCGTGGTCTGATTCATCTCACGCTTATGCACTCCACATAATTGCGATATACAAGCAATCGTGGTCAATTATTCTCTCTGAAGTTCCAGTGAGTAAGAATTATTCTACCTACATATAATTTCCTAAGAATACTACTCTCAGTATCACACTCTTGGACTTTGGCAACCAATCTTAGCTGAAAGTGAAAATCTAGCGAGGTTTGCTGTTCAGCACAGCCTTGAAAAGACATGTAAATCTAGTTCAGGAGTGTTTGTTATTGTAAAAGTGACAAAGGAACAAGTTTGATCTTCTTCATCCAATAATTTATGTTAGCTTAACATCATGCTTGAACAAGTTCCTTTGAATGGTGACCTATTAACTCTTTATTTTTCAACACAAAGATATTGTTGTGTAAACAATCATTCATCTAAAATTTATCTAGAAATTTGTTATTAATTAGGTTTCTGTTTTAAAGTCAGTTTGTTGATTTGGCACCACTGAATCAAACATTCCTACATCAATATGTTTTTGAAAAGCTTCATCAATAGAATTGTTGTTAGTTATTGTTATGAATTAGACATAATTATGAAAGCATACTTGCATGTGATTGTCATGCAATGAAATTGTACATGAGAAATTAAGTTAAGGTCAGCATTTGAATCCTACCTTCTTCTTCTTTATGAGACCAAAGATTATTGAATTATTTTTTTTTTCCCAGTCACTAAGCTACTGAAATCGTTCAATGAAAACGAAAGTTCAGAGAAGCAAAAACCTTAAAGCATAGTACTTCCTGTTTATTTCAGATCAAGAACTTCAGTTATGGAAATGGAAGAGGAGGTAAGTGATCATCAGCAAAGTGCTGAGGTGACTCCAGCCAGCAGTGAGAATGACCTTCTGGAAAATAAATCGGAGGACAGCATCGATGATGATGATGATGACGATGAAGATGATGATGATATTGATAAAATGTTGAGTGAGTTGCAGACTTTCCAAGAGGTAAATTCCTTGTTCTGTTTTTCATATTAAGTCAAGTTCAAAAGATCTCTGTGTTGGCGTAGTGGGAGGGCTGGATATGAAAGTATTTGGCTTGTGATCATGATGCACAGACTGAGCACAATGATGTCTGTGCTGTGCGTCATGACCAAGAGTGAAAAATTTTCCAATCCAGCCAGACCAAACTCAGTCAATAAGCATTTTATCATTTGACCACTGATTGGTGAAAAATTTTGAAAAACTGTGTGTCAACAGAATTATAGGAAGCAAAAAATTGGTGCATGCAGAACAACCACAAAAAATATTATGCAATAAAAACTTTTCCTTTTTTTTTTCTTGTCAGTACAAGAAACTCTCAATTCATCAAAAAAAGCACTTTTTTTCTTGTTTTCAATTTGATATTCTGTGTTTTTTTTTTCAACAAAGCCATGTGAGTGGGGGGCTGGAAGGCTTTTTTCAGACCAGCTCACATCAACCTGTCTTTTACAATAGTTTCCTCTTGGACTGGGTGCGTAGTAACTAGTTATTTGTGCTGCCTAGATACATGACTTTGTTGTTCATAGTTTTGGAACCAATCATTTTTAATAGGGTTTACAAATTTAGACATACCGTATTTACTCTTGTATAAGTCGAACTCGTGTATAAGTCAACCCCCATTTTCAAGGTCAAAAATCAAATTTTTCATCATTTCTAATCAAAGAAGTAAAATTTAGACATAGAAATTTCCCAAAAAGTTAATCTCTTATTTCTGATGATGTATTGAAAAAGTGCAGAGCAAAATGTAATCTTGTGCCATGAAGTTTATTAGCACTTTTTTATACCACCACGAATTAAGCATACATGAGCACTTTGATTTGCTGGAGAAGTATCTTACCATATTTTGCGAATCACATTGCAAATGAAATCTTCTTGTATTTAACTAACCTTTATCTTAATGTTGAGTTTGAAAGGAGATTAATTAAGTAGTAGAAATCAGCTCCACTAGCTTTGTTTTAAGCCACTCAAAATTTATTATTTCAAACTTTATTTAATGACAAAGAATGCCCTGAAAAGTGATGAAACTCAAACACAATTATAACTGGTTTTTTAAACTTGGTTTTCTTAACAGACTTCAGACAATTGTTATGCTAATTTCTTGGATTGCTTGGGTCAAGTCTTTGTGTATGACTCATGTATAAGTTGGGGTGATTTTTTAGGATTTTTTTTTATCATAAAAGGTCGACTTATACACGAGTGACTCCAGTATGCATGAACTGTGACATGATTTTCTCAATATTTTAAAAAAGAGAGGGATTTTCTGAAACAAAGTAAGCTGTGGGTTTTCATTACATTCAAAAGCATTGCAGTACTGCACATAACGATATCCTCTTTAAATCATTAGAAAATAATAACTCAAGTTAAATCAAATTATTTCAGTAAACTTGCTGAATATGTAAAATAGGGTCACACTCTGGAGATAATGGTCAGAGATTAGATCAGAGACATTACTCTAACTTTGTGAAAAGGTGTATTTACTCTGGTAGTCACCATTTTTTTCCTGGCTTTCATTCAATGTCTTCATAAATTTATCACCACCTAATTGTCCAGAATGAAGATTAAAAGTAAGAGAATCTTTATATTATGGAAGGAAATTTGGAAACTATTGGAGTAAATGCATATCATGAATATTGCATGTCCATTATTAAGTTTACACAATGGTAAGAGTATTTGACTGTGTATGAAGCTGTTTTAAGAAAGTTTGTTTGATAAATTTCATGTGTCAAACCCCAAAAGGTATTGTGGGTAGTTTTCAGGTCACGGTTCCAAGACTACAGGTTTCAGGAAAATTTTAGAAAATGTCACTGTAAGGACTACAGGTCACAAATTTGATGAATTAATTTATTGAATCCACTCATTGAACTTCACTGATCACAGAATACCCAGATTACCTTAAATAAGTTTTAAGATCGTCACATGCACTTTTGTCCTTTTTTTTCTGACAAGCTCTCTCAAAACAGCTGTACACAGTATACATGTACATGTTCATGACTCTTTTCAAAACTTACTTTTGTTTGCAGGAGCTTGAGCAGAAGTCACAGTTTCCAACAGAAGATGAACAGAGCCCAGGTATATCGCCATATGTACCACCCTCACAGCCTCTGGTAAGAATAACATGCCAGTAATAGAGAAGTTAAGCTGTATTAAAACTTTAAGGCAGACAGCAAAACTTGTTCACTATTAATAGTAAAATTTTTTTACTACATGTAGTTTGACTGATAGCTTTTAGGAAAAGTGTTGAAAATGAGAGTTCATTTTAATTTGCCATTGCCATTTTAATAAAGAGAAAAACTTGAAGTTAGTGTAACTTTGTTAAAATTATATATGTGTATCACATATTAACTCTTTAACTCCCATGATTGACCAAAACAGAACTTCTCCTTACAATATAAATTCCATATCAACCGGATGAGTTATGAGGAAAATATCAATTTGGGGATAATTAGTTGATCCAATACTAAATTCTCTGAACTGACATTATAAGAATTGTATGGTTGACAGTAAGGAGAATTACAAATTTGAACTTGGAGTTAAAGGGTTAAGAATCCTGTCGAAAATGGAGCTGAATGATTGATATGCTACTTACAGTTGTGGATGTAATTTTTAGCACAAACTGTCAGAGTGAATTTGTATATTCACATTTTACATGTGACCAAAGTCTCTATATCTCCATTCAGCACCTTTTAGTAGACCATAATTTTCAGAAGTTGTTTGACTGAGTTTATGTTCTCAATTCTTAAGAAGCATTTCAGTTCTGTACAACTTTCATTGTTTCCCTCTATTTTTTCATCATCTGGAATGACCTTCTTTCGCAGCCTTTTTGTAAATCCTTGAAAAAGAAATGTTGCATCAACAATCTCCTTACTAAATTGATCATTCTTAACCAAACAATATTTTTTTCCTTTGTTTTATTCAGGACCAGTTCAGATTTTCCATAAGTGCTATAGAGGGTGAGTTTAAATATTACAATGAGCAACTTGTTAGTTTAATTATATAAAAGCTGTGAATATTGATGTGAGTATATAGCAGCAGTATAGCACCTGATAAGTTGAGTGAAATGCTACAGAAAAAAAGTGCCATCTATCCATTGATGATACTAGTCTAGAATGATCACACTTCTCTACTTACTCAGAAACAAGCAGAAGTTGAACTAAACTTTTTTATAAAAGAAACCTACTTTCACTTAAATTGTTCATAATCCTTCCAGCATTATGCTCTCCATATATATTAAAAATCAGTAATTCATAGCATAGCATTCATTAAAATTTCTTGGTAGCATTATTATGTTTGACATGCTGCTTCGTTGAAAAAGAGGCAAATACTCTTTAGAGGAGACTTCTTGTTGGACACTAACCCTATGTAAACTTTTCTTTCCTCAATCTCAGTTGGCTTTTATTCTTCACTTTCCTTCACAAAGACTCTGCAATTTTCTAGGAAACAACAATCCATGCTTAAAGTCTTGCAATCTTTTCACTTTGAAGAAACATTTGGGGTCTAGATTGGGTATCTTGGTTGATTACAACCATAGTTTGCATTTCACCGTAATAGTCTAAGTCTAGTAACTTTGATCTTGACTTACTCACTCCATGTCTGCCGACTGTTGATCTATGACTACATGTACCTTGTTTCAGTCCTCTTCTCTGATAGTGAGAAATGTTTTAACAGACAGTTAATGAACTGTGTGTTTCTTCCAACTCTCATGGTTGTCAATCAAACCCTCCAGTCTCTAGTCAGCTCTTGCCTGCTGACCAATCATTCATCCCACCAATGAAACACATGCCCTTCCACTGGCTTGCCTGAAAAATTTCCTGTTGATATTTTTGAAAGGAAGGTAAGCTCAGTTAAACTTATCAAAATGGTCATACTGTCTGATCATCTCTCTGTCTCTGTACCTGTCTCTATTTCTGTCTCTCCCCAAAGAATATCATGCACCAACAATTCACCTACCTTAAGAGTTTTTGTTAAACAAGTACATGTAGATCAATATCATGCAACGCCATCTTGGATTTTGTGGTGTGAGAAATCGAGGCCGAATTTGCTTAAACTTGTTGGGTTTGTTGCGTGACAGTGTTTTGAGAGGAGATTCTTTCTGTGGGCCATACTTGCTGGTAAACAATGTAACGCAAGACACTCCCAAGACTTTAAGCCTGTTCAGTTTTGATTTGGTGCCCCCCCAGGATGGTTCTGTGTGATATTGGTCTATTAAAAGGAATTCTTCCACCATGGTTGAGCTTTCTCACAATAGAGCATATGTATCACCATATTTTGGAGAATGTAGCACTCATTCCTTCAGCATACAGTCAATATATCATTCATATCTGAAAATAATAAATCCTGACAGTTTTAAAAAATTAAAGCAAACATTGATTGTTTAAGCTGTGCAGTATTTCACACCACAATCAGTAATTTACTTATCACTCGTCTTTCAGGGGAACAATTTTCCATCCCAGACTGTTTTAAATACTTTTCATTTCATTAGTGTTAGGACAATCCTGGCAGATAAATTTATCTGATAATAAAAAATAGTTGTCACATCTGATCTGACTTATTGAAAGCTAGTCAGGAAGATCATTGCATTCCACTATCAGTTGGCTTTTAGTCATTTACAACAGTTAAATTTGGTAAAATGATTTCAGTCCGGTACATGCACAGAAAGCCAGTAGATGCTACGTCACTCTCAATAAGCTACCTGTAAGTTCAGCATAATGTGTGTGGTGCTAAGTGAATTCTTGAATCTTGTAAACACTTGTTGAAGATAAAGTAACAAATGCACATGCTGGTTGTGTTTATAATCAAGCTGATAAGAACCTGCTGGGCTAATTAATTAACTTGGCTTATCTCTTGTAATTTTTGGGATATGTTGTAGTTGTGATCTCTCTTTGTTTATTCCTTCTTAATGCCAAAAACCTATGTTCAAATAATGTTTACTTCTTTTTTCTTTTATGCATGATCATTTGAGAATAGTTATGACTTAAAAATTTTAGACATGAAATTTTCACATTTTTGTCTAAGACTGAATTATACATCCTTCTATGCTGTATGTATCTTGCATATATTTGCCAAGATGTAATTTGCTACCATGCTTAATTATCAAATACTTAGTGTGAAGTGCTGTAGCTGTATCAGCATGCTTTTTTTACAACATCCTGTTCTGTTATTGGCAGAGTAGTATGTAGATCTCTTGTGTGGTTCTCTCTTTCTCTGTTGTCATGAAATTACCTTAACAAACATTTTTGGCATGAAATATGTGTTCAAGAATCAAAAAGTGTATATTTTATTTAAACTCTCTCAGACAGGCTCATTGACACATTATCTGTGCCAAACAGGAACTATCTTATCATGTTTATTAAAAGAAAATGATAACACATTTAAAGTAGAAAATGAATGAAAAGAAGGAAAAAAAAACAAGCTTCTGTTTAACATGCAGTTATTTTAGAATTCTTCATGCTTTTGGTGCAAATTTTTTAAATCTGAAAAAATTATTGATTTGTAAGGTTTTGTTTTTTAATATTTGCCTGTAACAGTGGCAGTGTGATGTAATTTGCACTTTGTCCTGTAAGCATCAGATTACTGAACTTCACCCACAGTTTGTTGTCCCAGCTTGAAACATATACCAATCTGTACTTTAATTGTTTTCCTAGCCAGCAAAATTGTACTTGTTTACACTCAGCTGTTTAAAACTACCCATAAAAGTTCCTGGGGTACATTTTCCAAAAGAACTAATATCTGTGATGCAAAAACAGCTTATTCAAACGGTGTGTTGGTGATTGCATGGAAAACTTCAATCAAAACCTGACCCTTGGGTTTTGTCATAAGATACTTGATAGCATCAGGTTTCGTGTTGATCATTTAGCTCAGCCACGTTTTAGCTGTAAACCTACTTATAGTTAATTCAGTCCTTGTGGAGCCTGTAACAGCAACACATGACGCATTTCCTCTGATGTGGTCAGTTCTTAAAATTTCCTCTCTTTGACTTGTTTTTATTTTCTTCAAGCAGTCATGTGCTGGCAAGATTTTGATCAAATGATTGAATCAGAATGATGAAAAGAACATTCTTTTTATTATGCTGTTAGTAATTAATAAGTGTCATGATTGTAAAGCACTGATATAAAAATCTCTGTATGCCGACAGGAAGTGGTGAAGTAGACTTGGATGCCCTTCTAGAAGATCTGTGTGTTATGGAAAGGGACATGACGTCTTCCAGTGAAACAGATTCCATGTTTTCAGAGACAATTTCTAGCCCCATAATAAACTCTCCAATCTCACCCAAAATGAAGGTATGTTGTGAATTTTTCATTCTTTTGGCAACAGATACAAGTATTGTCCTCTGTCTGGTATGAATATCAATTATGGCTCACTAATGTTTATTAACAATGCAATGGATTACATGTGGTTTTCCCCAGTTAAGTTAGCTCCTAATAAATATTTGCTAAGTTCCTAATGATGTTTGAGCAAGTTCCATGTTTTGCTGCTCTGTGAACAAAGCGTTAGGATAATATTACATAGATTATGTGTTATGTTCAGGGATGTATTTCCCTTTCCTGGAAGAATTTCAACTCTGATTGTTTTGCTAAATGCATTCGTGCATGCCCCAGTTATTAATTCATACAAGTCACTTCCCATCTGAATATTGTATGGTATTGTCACTGATGGTTTTGCTGGTATCTCAGATGTCAAAATTAAGTACTAACTTGGGTTTGAAAGTTAAATTACAGACTTGAAAGGAAAAATAATATTTGCTCAAAAGATATAACCAGCAATTCTTTCTACTGACTGTTTTGGTTTTCATGATGTGAGGCACACGCTCTGAAGTGTCTTGCTGTGATTCAGCCCCACAGGCTCCTAAGGGAGTTGTCTTACAGTCACATAATAAATGCTTGCATGTTTTTTGTATGGACATGGCACTATAATTATTATAGAATTTATCTCGGCAAGCTTTCATTGACAGCCATGTAACAGAAACATAATTTAAAAAATGGAAATCTTTGCAACATTCTCTATCAATTTATGAGGTTATTTTGAATAAAGATTCTAAAGTACTGTAAATTATTTTGCTAAATGTGCCTCCACAAATCAGAAATCAATGTAGACTGCAATAGAATTTAAAGGGAAACTTAAAACTTTCATTGAGTCACCAAATATTTGACTTAAATGGAGCAACCAAATCTTATTATAATAAGTAAAGCTATTAAATCAACCGGGATCAAGACCATAAAAACGTTTTCTATAACATTTCAATTTTCACAGGATTAGTGAATTTAGTATCTACATTCAGTAAGTTATCACCCAAGTTTAGAGAGGGCTTCTGTGTTGTTGTTCAAATATTGCCATGATAAACCATTCAATATTTACATATGTTATAGCTGACCTTTTGCCTGCATTTTCCACATTAGGGGTATTTACATTAATATTCCAAGGCAATTAACAGCTGGAGTAATTATTTTTGCACAATTTTCCAAAAGATTGTCAAAGTTAATTGGCACTTGAAAATATCTGTAATATTTAAGTCCTTTGGAATGTACCCAGTATGATGCGGAGCTATTTGATTCATTATTCTGAACATGGGCTTACCCAGTATGTAAATGTTTCTCTTCAAGCTAGAGTTAGAAACTTGATTCCCAGGTTGATACACGCGCAGATGAAAAACACCAAACCAATATAGAATCTTTTCTTTATTTATTCCTTTTCCTATTCCTTGGGGCATTATTATATTGAAGCGGTCAACTGAAATCATTATGTGAAGAAATTACTTAAGTATTGTGATCATAGCTTAAGTATAATCTTGATTTTGGTAATGAGCACATGGCAATTAAAAGAACCTAAAGAAAGGTAAAAATGAGCAATAAGTTTCACTTTGAGTAACAACTACAAGCCAGGTAACATAATCACAAAACAAGTTATTACTTACCAATGTTTATGGGTCTTGATTACTTAATTATCAAGGATTACAATCTAACTTGTCTTCTATTCAAAAACGATTTAGATCACACTGGGTCTTATCCTGAATTGAAACGCTAACTATAATTTTCTGTCTAAAAGGAACTAATCACGGAGGCGTCAATCTAATCAGAAAATATTTCGCAGCTTTTCTCAGAAGTGGTAACATTTAGCTTCTATGGAAGCAGTTACACTGTATGACGCTGTTGATTTGAACATTTCTAGGTGTCAGCTGATGTGCGTAGCCGTCTTGAAAGTGTCCAAGAAGAGACGAGAGAACTTACCCCTGTGAGTAGTGAGAATTTTGTCTTGATTTTGTGTTCTCTTTTAGCTCATAACAATCTCTCAGAACAGACATTGAAAGAAATGATTGGGATCAGTAGGGAGATTTAGATTTAGATCCTGGAGCTGAAGCAAAAAGTACAAGGAACACTTTCAGAGGAGTTTCTTAAATCCAAAATCAATATAATTAAATGGCCAATCTGAAATTTTTTATTTAGTCCCTTGTAGAATGAGACATATTTAAAAGCTATGTCAATGCCACTTTTTTACAGTGTTGAGCTATATTTTAGCTATGCATAGCTAAAGACTGCCTATTAAATCACTATATTACTCCACACACAACATAGTCCAGTGTCGGTAATTCTCCTTGCTGTCTGCCATACAATTCTTATGATGTTATTTTAGAGAACTTGGTACTTGATCAATTAATAATTCCATAATTGATATTTTTCTTTATTCTCATCAGCTAGCTGCTTGATATTGTATTGATATTGCAAGGAGAAATTCTGTGTTGGTCACTTGTGGGAGTGAAAGGGTTAACCATACATCACAATGAATTTAATCCTGAAATAATTCTTCAGCTGGAAATTGGTTTTAAGAGCAGGTGGAAGTGATGGTGTGATTTTCTCAATTATAGGAGGAACAACATGAAAGAATCAAAACAGAGAAAATAAGGATAGCTTTGGAGAAACTCAGGGCAGCTAGAGTGAAAAAGTTAGTTGTCAAAGTATACAATGATGAGGATCCAACATCAAAAACTGTGGCCATTGATCAGACTTGGACGGCATGGGAAGTATGCAAGAAAATGATGCGCAAGAATGACACAGAACCTGATCCCAACTGGGTTCTGATCGAAAGAATTCCAGAACTCTTTTTAGGTCAGTATGGATTTGCAGATTCTTCTCAACAAATTGTCAGCTAAGTAATTGACGGTCCAAAATTAGAATGCAATAGTTATTGATTTCATGTGTGATTTTGATTTATTTGCATCTTCAGAACGACTCTTGGAAGATCATGAATCAGTAGTGGATGTAGTTTCAACCTGGCCATGGGATTCTGAGAACAAACTAGTGATTAATAACAGAAGAGAAAAATATGCACTTTTTAGAAACCCGCAGGTATGTCAAAATGACTTTTGAGACATTTCATTTTGTTTAAGGCCCAAAGGGTTTCGTAGTCTTTGATTTTCCCTGTTCCTTATCAAACTACAGTTTTCAGGTCAAAATCATGTTATAAAGTTGAATGAGGACCCAGGACTTTCTCCTGATATGACACTGAGTAAACAGATTAGAATTTATCAGTTACTGAAGTTCATACCAATGAAATTAATCTGTTTCAGAACTTTCTTCTGACAAGTGATACATCAGCAGGTGCTGCACAGTTGGCAGAGAAAAGTAAAGATATTTTGCTGCAGGTGATAAATCATTTGATATTCTTTAATAAGAATTGGTAGCAATCCTAGAAAATGATTGTTTTGATTGTTTGAAAATCTTTGAAAATCCTTTTTTAGACCATTGTTTAAGATTTAAGACATAATGCTCTTTCAGAGGTTGATATCACTTTCACCTTTCTTACCTCTTAGATTGAGAAGCATCTGATTTCTTCTACCAATATCACGCCTGAATTAAACATTAATTTCATGAGAATAAAGGGAATGGTTACTAATTAGGCAAGCTGTTGGTTGTTGTACAAATTCTCCTTGTCAGCACCAAGGAAATGTATAGAGGACGGTTTAGAGGATATTCATACTAATGTTAGGTGTGGAGGGTTTAAGAGGTTGTAATGAGATATACCAATGAAGCCAGAATGTGGAAGTTATTTGAACAGAATTAACACTTTGTGAAACCGTGTACACGAGGCGTTGCCCATGATAATGTCACCCACCCTTGACCATAGTGTTTGTTTGTTTGTTTTTGGCAGGAATTCTTTCAAAAGGATGCCATGAGACTACCAGAACTTGATGGTATTTTGTACCTTAAGGAAGGGAAAAAATCCTGGAAAAAGCATTATTTTGTTCTCAGAGCATCTGGAATCTACTATACACCAAAGGGAAAAACTAAGGTGAGCATGGCTATTCTTAGCGAATCCGTTCTCAAAAGTCATCGGAATACTAAATCCTTGTAATTATGTGTGAGCTGAATCTTCTTGAATTACTTAACATTCCAAGTCCTGCCCTCTTTAAATTTTCCTTTTTCGAGGTTCAAAGAGAAGAGAAAAAAGACAATTGCAAACAGAGAGAAAGAAAAACTTGATTGAATTTAGGGTTGATCAAGCTAAATGCAGTTGGTATTTGTGCCCCTCAAATATTTTCTGGGTTTACACTGCGCGCCAACTGTCTCATACCCTATTTATCCATTTGATCTACTTACATTTACCTTTTATATACGATAATCCCCCAAAGAGGGTATGTACGTGCCTCTGTTCTATTGGCTTTTACAGTTTGTAATTAATAAATTGGTTTGATCGATTCCTTCTACAAGGAATAAGGTATACCTCCCTGCCATTTGTTGGTTTGTTTTAAACTGGGTGATTGCAATTTTTTTAAAAGTGCTTTCAATCATGAGTTTAATCTCGTGACCCATGCCTCTTTACAGCTCTTTCGTTATGTTTTATTTCGGTTTTATTTTTTGTACTCCTTCTTAGCAATAAAAGTTAAGAAAGCAACTACATTTAACATATGAACTTACCAACAAAACACTAATTTTTTTATTTGTAGTCGTCACGCGACATCGTATGCTTGATGAAGTTTGAACATGTTTCAATCTATAATGGTATTGGATTCAAGAAGAAGCTGAAGGCGCCCACAGAGCACTGCTTCGTTTTAAAGGTATGTTTAAGGTTTTATTGTGTAGCTTGGCTCAGTTTAGCTCTTTCACTAAAGGAAATACAATATCGTTTTGCAGATAGATGTTTGTTAGGGCAATTTCATTCGGGTGACGAAAGTAATTTGAGATTCCACCAGTTTTTCCTTATTTCGCTCCATCATTGGTCCTAAAAAATCGCGCCTTCCTCTCAATCAGCCTATCAGATACAAAAGATCTCCTGCGCTTTGAAGCCGTTTGCTTGTGTTTACTTTGAGTTCTGATTGGCCCCCTGGGATATCGTGGCCTCTTTGTTCTGTTGGGCCGAAGTGCTTACTTCGGTTTTGATTTTACGACACAGTGGAAGAGCGCTCTACAAAATAATATTGAAGTGAATCTTTGTACTTGACAACGATCCTAGTTTTTTGACTCTGGTGTTGTTAATGGTGTATTCGGGTGAAATTATGAAGAAAACAACTCGTGGTTAATCCAAAAAGGGTTCTTTGGTTAAAAAAAAATACGGTGTATTTGTGAAACACATATTTCAAATAAATGACTGATCATGAGCATGGAACACACAAGAAAGTCGTCCTGAAAACAGTTTGTTCTTTGTGCACATACGTGAAGCTCATTTTTACAGTACGGAAATGTAGTCAAAGCTTTAAATGAGGAACTGTAATCATACGATCAAAGCGTGATTTAGCAACAAATTAGACATGTCGCTGTCTTGTTTTTTTTAGCATCCTCAATACCATGACCTGGAGTCAAAAGCTGTTCGCTGTTTTTGCGCAGAAGATCTTAAAACAATGCAGCGCTGGATGGTGGGCATCAGACTAGCAAAGGTGAGTTGAGCTGGGTTATTTAGTCTTATCCATGCTCTCACTGTGGAAACGAACGAGAGAAGAGAATGGGCGAGAGAAAATCGGCGTGTTTTAGGGAAAGGGCTGCTCTTTGTGCGCATGCTGTATGTACAACAGAGCGGAAATGTACTGCTGTTTCGAGAAAGACTGTGGGGAAAAAAGCGTAAAAGTGTACGCGACAACCCCGATTTGAATTTTTCAGGGGAAACTTAGAACACGTCACTGTAAGGACGAAGCATGGCGGGTTAGATGAAGTTATATTTATTTATTTATTTGACTTGTTTCGATCGACTGGTTATCGGATACCCAGATTACCTTTCGACATTGTTGCGTGCACTGTTGTCCTTATTTCCAATAACCTTTCTCGAAACAGCTTTATGCATTTTCTGTGAACAAGAGACTTTTTGCTATTCTTCTGCAAGATTCATATAAGGGTTACATGGAAAAATTTGTATGATAGCACTTTTTGGCTGTTCTGTAAACGTCGATCAGAGAGGCTGGAAAACGCAGCCAAGTATTTTTTATTTCTTTCGGGGCACAACATTTTTATATGTTTAAAGGTAGTTATTCTATCAGGCCAGATATATAGCTGCATAAACAGGTCTAAAGCTCTGTTTTAACTTGGGGGGTGTCGTGCATCGAGAAAGCGTTGTGTGTGTCCCCTCCCTCCCTCCCCCATCCCAGACGATGGCGAAAGAGACGAAGTTTTTGTGTGATTCTGTTTCTTGCAGTTCGGATACAAAATGTTGGTAGATTATACGGACACGCAAGACGAGATGGACAAGCTTGCGTTCACACTAGACAGGAACAAGTTCACCAGGTCATCAAGCTTTACTTCAGGACAAACTTCTGACCAAATAGATGGCAAACTTGAGGTTAGTGTTTTGGGATTGTTGCTGCTATTTAGAAATTTTCTGGCAAGACAAATTCTTTCAGCTAGTATCAAGTGATAGAAAGTGAACATTTGCGAGTGTTTTTAATCCCAAAGATAGCGTGACTTTCACTGGCCAGATATTCATGTCACGATATTCATGTCACTAATTCTTTATAAGAATATTGCAACTGAAGCAATAATTACAAATATTAACCTTTGGCTTAATTATTTTCAATTTGCGTCATTAATAAAGAAAGCATTTGGAGAAGCCGATTTCGGGTGGTCCAGCGTCGTATGTTAATTTGTTGGGGCATTGAATTCATTAATTGTCACATGGAGTAAATTAACTTTGTATGTCATCACAGTCGCAGGCTGAACCACCCAAGGATTATCAGTCGATGAAAGCAAAGGTTCAGTCTCAGAGAATTAAAGATTCAATCGGCACATCCTCAATCCATCCCAGTGGTAAGTAGAATAAACTGTCTGGCACGCAGGCTATGGCTGGTAAAATAGAAGAGAGTGAAAAGAGTAGATGGTATAATTCCTCTCATGTGTCCCTCTGGTGACTTCTTTGCCACGTCGCTTTGCGCCTGTCACGCAGGCAGGCAGTTAAAAGACAAAGCCTCTGTCAGCTAAATACACTTTCACTGTTACTTGTGCGAAGCGTGAAGTGGTACGAGGAGGGGAGGGAAGGGGAGGGAGTTGCTAGTTGCATGTGATAACGGAACATGTCGGTGTCCACCTAAATTCCAATAAGACGCTAAAAAATTCCTGTCTCAGCCAATGGTTACGTTTCGGCTCTTGCGTACTCTGTGAATATTTTGATTAGCATGGACAACGAGATGTACATGTAAACCTCGTTCCATACTCGTTTATTTTGAAATAAATACAGTGTATCATTCAATATTTTATTCTGATCTCACAGGTAGCATGAGCTTCTCCGTCAACAGGAGTAAAATTGAACCCAAGAAGCCTTCAAAGAAGATTGGAAATTTGTTTTCGGATGCCTGGAAGAAAGGGAACGAGTATGACTCTAAGGTAAAATTAATTCTTGTTTTTCTCGACGTATGCTTTGTATCGGAACTGTGTAATGATAGATCCCTTGCTCACAAACCACCAGCCGCAATTTTTCTTACACTTTTTAAGGCAAGTTTTGTGTTTTTGTTTGAACAGAATATTTCTGAACCCATCTCGCCCGATCCACCCTCAACGCATAGTGCGGGAGCTGCTACGCCAAATACCTTGGACCCAAAGCCTTTCACCATAGATAACGTGAGCCTGCAACCTCTGGAGGAAGAACACGAGGTAAAGGATGAGACCCATGAAACTGAGGCGGGAGAAGCTGTTGTTCCAGAGCACAATTTGGTGTTAGATCCACCGCCTTTACCTCGGAAGTCATTCTCCAAGAAAATTGAAGGGGAACCTGCACAGCCACAGGGAGACAACAGCGAAGACAGAGAACAGGCGCAGAATGGTGGTGAACTAAGCCCACGGGGTAGGAGCTCGTTCAAACAACCAAGGAGGACTCGCAGCGTGTCGCCGCCTCCACCGCCACCATCCCCACCCTTGGCAAATCGTGGAGTCACCCAGGAGCCTAGTAATAACATGGGGGTATCTCACTCTTCGAATACACGCGGAAGTGCTTCCCCTCCTCCCCCTCCCGTCCCTCCAAAATCAGCGACACCCCGTACTTCGTCTGTAAGTTCAGAAAACAGCGTGTTCCGACGAACCTCGTCTAGCGCTTCGGACCACGAAGTGTTCCCGCAAACTCCTTCAATTGTTTCAGACCAATCTGGGATGCCTCAACCCGCTCCTAGTACGTCAGACCAAGAAGTGTTCAGCGGCTCGCTCCTTCCACCCCCTTCACGGCTTCTCTCCACCTCCATGGAGGAAATGCCTCCACCGCCACCTACCTCAGACGTTCAAGAAGATGCAGACGTGGAGCTCCCTCCTCCTCCTCCAGAGGTGTTGTTTAAAGAAAGGCTTAGCATGTCTATCAGTAACGGCAGGCGGAGAACCCCCAGTGACGCCCCAGCAGTACCGCCCAAAACAGGGAGACCAAGATTTAGCAGCTCTGGGCCGCAATCTCCTACCTCTCAAGGGAGAACGTCTTCGTTCACGGGCAGCTCGTAAACAAGTTTGTTCGCCTGCTGGGTAAACAAACTACAATAAAATGAGAAATGTTGGTAATTATTTATTTGGTCTCGTGTGAATAACCGCAGTTGAACACACATGTGAGCTAAACTTGAGCGTTTAAGAACTAATGATACTTTAACGCAAATGATGTCAAACCTATTTTATATCTTTCATATATGAAGATGTATTTACAAGAAAAATGTAGGAGGAATTGTTTTTTTGAACATTCCTATATTTTTCCTATGAAGAAAAATAAAATTTCGAACCGTAATTTTCAAAATTTAAGATGGAAGAATCGGGTGTGTGAAGCTGCTATGTAGTTAAGGAAACAACGGAATTTTTTTTTTAACTGAGCCCTTGTGGGAAGGAGGTGTTATTATATGTTTCAAGGTGTGTTAGACAATTTTATTTTGACACTGTCTAGAAACATACCAATCATGAATCGACATCTCATCAAAGAGCTAGATTTGGATCTAAGATTTTAAGAGTTATGACAATCCATTTCACACATGCCAATTATTTATCAGTGTAAGTGTTTAAACGGAAATTCCGTCGAAAAGTTCCTAAAATTAAGGTTACAGTTCATCTGAACTAAACTGGACTGTTCGAATGTAAGTTGTATTGTCAAATTTCAGTGAATATTCTTGTGTTGAAATTTTGATATTTTTTCTGATATGTTTATTTGTAAAATTTTGTAAGTGGTGTTGTTTGTCTCACGACACAGTTTAAGTTTTTTTTTTCACGAGATCACGACATGCCGCGGTCTTAAATTCAGAATTTTACGATTTTCATTAATTCGTGCCACACAAGGGAATAGTGCACCGCGCGCGCTGATTGGCTGGTTCGGAAGTGAAAAGCAAGTACCATTCACCTCCCAGCAGCCAATGAGACCCAATCGTGCGTCAAGAGTGAAATCTACGACCATTTCTTATTAAAAAAAGTTGAACTTAATTTTTAGTATCTGTATTTTTTTTTCTTGTATTGCGATTATGTGTTGTGGTCTCAACTAAATACTAATATTGAATTGATGTATCTGCTTGGTAGTTGGGTCAAATAAATTAAGTTCTGATATGTTTAAATTTATGTAGTGTCCAACATTTTATATCAAAGGAAGCAATCTATGTTTATTACTGCGAGATATTATACATTTAAAACATATTCAATTGTACATAGGAGTTAGGACACGGTACTGATAAATATTTCTATGCTAAAAATATATTTTTGTACGTTGTAATTTTTCGAATATACGCCGTTTTTGTAGTTAATAAACGATCATCTCTGCATTTAATCATTTGTTTTTTGGATGTCTTGTTTGTTTTATATCTTAAGAAGAGAAAGATGTGGAAAACCTGTTTGACCTGTTCTAAGCCCTGTTTGACCTGTTCGAAGCCCTTAAAAAGAACATACGAGTGAAGAGGTTGGGAGAGCGCATACTATTTGTGTCGCTTATTAAAATGAAAATGATGCGATCTGGCTTTTGACAAAGCTTTTTTCCCTTAAGTTGTGAAGGCTCTTTGGAAATGTGATCACAACAACACTCGAAAATGCGTACCCTGTGTTTCAGGCAGAGAATTTTCGCAAAGTTTGGATAAGAATTCATCCAAGGTTCTGGTGCGAGGTGATAAGTTTTTTTTTTTTTATTTTTTTTAATTGGTCAGGGTCTTTAAAATTACTATTGACTGCATGGCAGCAACTGGTCCATGCAGTGGACCAGAAATCATTTTTATTTCTATTTCCTTTACCCCTTAGATTGGAGGTAGAATGAAGGTCGAAAATTTTTAACATCATTCAACTGAACATAATTTAATGACTTTTCTGTTATTTGACTGGTACTCATTCGTTGTTCCTTTGCTTGTTATTTATTTTTCTGGAATTGTTTACAGTTGACTTTTATAACATAGCCTCTTGGGAATTAAATGGGCGCTATTTGATTCAAAATTCACTTACTAGTGAAAGAATATCAACATCTTCAACTTTCGATGAAGTATCTGGGGGTTAGTCTGGCTATTCAAGATGATCTAGAGGTTAGAACTGATTATTTTACAGTTGTGCTTTGTTTTATTTAACACCATGTGTCATGGGGAACCCATGTATTAGCGAGTCTCAGGAAGGTAAATCACTTTGGTACAAACAACGTGTCTAGAAGTTCATCATGGAACCTTTTAAATCAAGGTTGGCAAATTTTACCCTCATGAAACTCGCAGACTGCGGATTTTTACCACCAATTTTTGCAGATTTAAAGGTTAGAACCAGGAATCGTAGATCGGCTGATATTTTGGCCAGGATTGCGAATTCTGTGTAGAAGTTTCAGTGGGTTATAGAACTGGCGTGTCGGTGGTAGTCCTCATTTTACGCTGGTCGGTATGTTGCTGTTATGTTGCCCTTAATTTTTGGTTTCCGGCATTCAGTTCATCGAAAGTTGGGAAACACTTCGCAAATTGTAGACCTTGTGGCTCAGCGCTTCAGCATGAAACCCATATCAATTTCAGCAAAGACAGAAAACTTTGGTTAAAATCTAAACATCACTGTTCCGGCTGGCGTAAACAAGCAAAACACATATTTATTTGCTTATTTGACAATAATTTGTACAACCGAATATTTCAAAGTCAATCGAACCCGGAATTGAAGGGATAAACGTTGGTTCGAAGGATCGAGCGAAAGAAACTGGGTAGAAAACAGATTTTGCACATCCTGATCGCCTCGCGGGAAGATAAATTGGTTTTAGTAACTGAGTTGATAACGTAAATTGGCCAGCCTTAAAAACTCTACTGTGGCAAATCTATTGGATTAACCGATAGGTGATAAAATCAAATTATCTTGTAATATCCCCCACGGAGGAAGCAACTTTACATGGAGGTCCCTTTCCACTTAAGCTGTTAGCCTAATAAGTAACTTGTAATCATATTATGGCCCTCATATTCCCACATCTGGAACCTGCTGATCGTCTCTTGACGTAAGCAGACCATGTGCTTCAATCCTTGGTAGTGGGACATTATGAGAAGTGTCAGGATGGTTCTTATAGGGTTAAATTACAGACAGCCGGGGCAATCACTGAAAAAAGTTTGAAAAGACTTCCTTTTCAGTTTTAACTTTCCTCACTCCTTTACGTATCTTTTAGTCAAGGCACGTTTGAATTCTGGGTCATCTTCGTTAGAAAATTATGACCAACAATTAAGTTTTTCTTAGAGACTAAAAGTACAATAAATCCTGATCTTGAGGTACCCATGACATTAAACGGTGAGGCGAAAGTGACTTTCTTCATTCAACCGAACTTCGGTAATACTGTCATAAGAAAAATGTAAAATGTGAGAAGGCAGCAATTATTTTAGGTAATGTCTCACAGACTCCTTACAAATCAATAGATCTTAAAGCATCCATTTGAAAGCCAGATTTTCCCGAATTTCCACATAACACATGTATTGAACAGACGTATAGGAAAAATCAAAATGGCGAGGACTACAAAATATTCATATTTAACAACTACTCAACGAAGTGGAGGAGAATACCTGTTTCAAAATGTGCAAAACAGACGAATAATATTGCACTAAAAGGTGATTTTTCCTCATTTGTTCTAGTAACGATTACAATATTTTCGGGCGCAAATCCTGCGCGAGTTGCTAGGAAATTAATAGCTAAGGGTATTCGGAGTTTGAGCAGCCAATCAAAGCACCGACGACGTTTAAGTTTTTTGAAATGGGTGTGTATGTCACAAGTTTTTAACCTTGAAAATATTTAGCATGAATTTTCACGATCTGCATGGGTTAATCTCAACTATCCAAAAAGGAGTAAAAGGAATACGGAGTTTATAACTAGGGAGGTGTGGCTAGCATGTGAGGGGGTGGGGGCGGGGAAAGGTGTCCATGACTGAGCACCGTTGTAAGTTGTTTACGTGACGTGCAAAACCATACTATTGAAAAGGAAGTAGGAAAGATTTACGAGGAAATGAAAAATCTAAGCAAATAAAGATAGCGATTAAAAATTGATTTCAAACGACGAAATTGAAGAGTGTCTGCCAAAATTTTACAAGGAGCATAAGCTGCGACGTGCTTTATTGGTCTTCATCTAAAATTGGAACGCATGAACTTGAGTTAATATAATTAATAACACAAATCAAACAGGCGCCCTACACCGCATGCTGTGACATAGGTTTTGACAGGTAAGTTAACCTTTAGGACCCCACAATCTGCCGTTTGTCACTACCAAGCCGATTAGCAAGAGAGAGAGCAGAAGCCAAAAATCCCATAAATTTGATGAACTGACTGAGGTACGAAGTTACAAAGTTTTCCTGCTTTAAAGTGAAGCTTTCCCTCAAGCTTTCAATATTTTGATAAGCAAATATTATTCAATTAGAGTTTGAGTCTATTTCAGCGCGTTATCCATGGTGACTGGAGAACGATTGCGTCATAAAACCTCTTAATTCGTTCACCTACCACATTTTTTTGTTGACTTTGTTCGCAAATATTAGGACAGTTGCGAAAACTTTGAATATTTACAGATATCATGCAACCTTTCAGCCATAAACCGGGAGTCCTTCATCCAGAGCTGTGTTTCAAAGAGAGTCATCAAGGCCAGGGTGTATGACAGCAATGCAAAAAAACGAAAAACAAGAGATTGAGGTTAGCCGCTAACGACAGATTACATGTAATTGTGATGATCACCGCTTATATAAGGTCAAGGTCTCTGATACTCATGCGAATTACACGATTAAGACATAGCGAGGCTAAATGTTCTTGAGAGTCACTCGGCCTGCAATGAATTTCACAGCGAGTTCACTGTATCTATCAGTATATCAAAGGGGTTTTTTCTTATTAGGAATGAATTTAAGGCGTTAATTTACAACTGCCAGACCTCCTGTACTAGGTTGTTCGTTTCTTAGCTGCTGACGCTGGATGAAAATGAAGCCATCAAAGCCTTGTAAACAAAGTGCTTGTTTCGTGTCGTCGCCGCTCCTAAACTCCTTCGGTAGTGACTTTCAACGCTAAGATACGCTATCTGTTCATTGCGTGATGCAGGCCCCTCTTGCCTGCGTATTAGGCTGTTTGATGAGAACTTTAGCAAGGAGTTTAAATTATGTTAAGGAAAAAAAAAAACAAACAAAAGCAAGAAGCTAAATCGCCGAGTGTCGTTCGAACCTCTTCTCGCCTCTACTAACTTAGGCTAGGAACTGGCTAATTTCTCGCCGTTGTCCTGTATAACGTGCTGAAAGGCCAAAATTAATTTTTTTGGTAGAGTTGAACCTCGCCAAAAACGCAGCTGGGGAATTCTATGAAAAGTGTCCTTGTCAGGCGCGATAAATTAATTATGTCAAAACCACCACTTATAGAGAGGTGAAATATCCAAGAAGGAAGAAAAAGCTATTAAAACAACAAACTGAACTTCGGTAATTTACAAAGAGCTGTATTAGTTGGCTTTATCGCGCGGGTCTGGTCTTTGAAAACATTGAAAACATACAAATACACATAAACTTTAGCAAAGTGTCTGGGTGCGGACCGAAAGGTTTGTGAGAGACTCCACCTAAGAGTTATATTAAATTGCGGTGAGTGATATCGACAGTCTGAAAACAATTTGTGTTCAAATGCAAGGCGCATTGTATTTGATTGACACTAATATTAACTGCGAAAAAATTTGGACTAGATCGTTATGACGAATCGTCTTTATACAGTTAGCACTTTGGGCATCGACTTGTTGTCGATTCTAGGTTTTATTACTTTCCCAAAAGAAGTATTTTATCACACGCAGTTTGTAAAAAAATGTTCGTGATAGCGTTGTACGTGTGACGCCTGTATTTAGTTTGTTTGGAGAAAATTCAGTTATGGGCTTTCCCCAGGGACTACTGAAACTGTCTCTCGTGTAACGAGCAGGTGTCTCGACTGCTTATATTTACTCACTTCGGCTTTTAAGAGCCTTTCTTTCGGTATTGTTTATGGCGTTTGTCACCTGTATAGAGTAGTCGATAAAAATTTGTTCTCCACTTGTTCCGTCTCGGTTCTCTCGTTAAGTTGGTATACCTTTGAAGTTAACGTACTAACGCTTTTGAATATTTCCTTTTATAGGAAGTCTTGTAGAACGTCTCACTGCTTAAGGTTTCTTCGTACCAGCACTATACAATCGCTCGAATAGGCTACAAAGGTCTCTTTTTTTTTTCACCTCGGAAACGGATAAACATCGATCAATGGCCGGAATCAATCGGATTCAATATCAGTAGTTGCTAAAATAGCTCGCCAGTATTTTGAGTGAGGGAACACTTTGTCAACACCCCGCAAATATGTCAGCTTGCTTTATTGGTTTTTA